GCGATAAGGAGGAGGAGCCGGGACAAATGTAGCTTTTGTAGGCTGCCGAACGCCAGCGCCCCAGTGTCTTGATGTGTGTGGGGTCCCAACCCTGTATCGCCGCTGAAGTGGCAGCCCTGATACGGAAGGAGCGCCCATAATATTCCTGGGGACTAACACCGCAAGCAGATAAGGCTTTGCGTAAAACCGCTGTGCATTGTGATCGCGTCAACAGGCGCGTGTTTGAGTGAATGAAGAAAAGGCCCTTTCACTGGGACCGGACCCTGAAGAAGCGGCGTGTGTCGTGATATGGGCAGGGGCCCGCCTGTTCTGTTGAGGGCAACGCAAGCGTGACCCCTTTCCGCAATTGGTCAGTTTTTGAGGACCGAATCTTGACATTCAACGTATGCGCAGAGAACTTGATGTCGTTGTCTGCCAACCCTGATTGCAGGGGCCCAGCCAAACACTCCCCAATGCGCATGGCACCAAAAAAGGCTAGGGAGAATGCTGCCCGAAAGAGACAAGTTTCAAAATTTGACCAGCAGATCTCTGGTAGTTTTTTCCAAATTAGATAAAGTATGTCTATGGTGATGGGCTTCCTGCCATCCTGACGAGGGGGAATGACATGCTGCCACCCAGCCAGCAACTTCTTGACATGGAAGCTGTCACAGGGGTCTGGCCAATGACGGACTTTACAAAAGAAAGAAATAGCCGCCCTGTAAAGCATTAAAGTTTTTATGGCAAGGCCCTTGCGCTTTAGGAGCACCAAGAACTGAAGCACCTCCTCCTCGGATGCGCGCCGTGTTGCAGAGCCACAAAAGCGCCCAAAGGCATCCCAGGCCCTGGAATAAGAACGTCTAGTGGAGGGTGCTATTGCTGCCAACGCTCCCTGGTTTACTTCTCGCTTCCAATTTCCCACAGATCGTCTGGGAAGGCGTCCGGGGACTGGGCTGCTTCTGGTGCCATCGCGCGGAAACGCTCCATCTGGAAACGAGACAGGGCATCAGCGATGTTATTGATAAGGCCAGGTATGAAGCGGGCAGTGAAAGAAATATTGTGCCGCCGGCACTCCAGCACAAACAGGCGCAGGACCCTTATGACCCTCTGGGACGTTGCTGACTGCCTAGATATAACTTACCACCGCTTGATTGTCGGACCAGAAACAGACCCTGGAATTCGAGAAGAGGGTTCCCCAGATGCGAATGGCAGCTAGAATAGGAAAGAACTCCAGAAAGGTTAAATCATGAATAATGCCTGCTGTGTGCCAAGAAGATGGCCATGGCTGGGCACACCAATGTCCCCTGAAGAACACGCCAAAGCCACAGAGGCCAGAAGCATCAGAATGAACCTGGAATTCCACCCTGGGGTTAAGGCTCTTCTGCCAAAATGAAACCCCATTATAATCCTGCAGGAATGGAAGCCAAACCCTCAGATCGTCCTTTATCTGCTTTGTCACCCTGATGTGATGGTGGGGGACTAACCCCCCCCGGCCATGAGCCGAGCCAGACGGGCACAAAAGGCACGGCCTGGCGCCACTACTCTACATGCAAAATTAAGATGACCCGATAGGGATTGCACCTGGCAAAGGGTGGTCTTTTGAACCCCAAGCATTGCCTCCAGAAACACATTCAAGGATTCCAGCTTGGTCTGTGGGAGGCGCGATGACTGCCGAATTGTGTCCAATTCAATAACCAAGTAGGAAAGGATAGTCGAAGGGCCCTCGGTCTTGTCAGCAGCCAGAGGTATGCCAAAGTCAGCTGCAAGGCGCATGAATGTAGCTAGGGATAGAGCGCAGTCAGGGGAGTCTGTGGTCGCCATAATAAGAAAGTCATCTAAGTAATGGATGACGAAAGGGGAACCAGATGTGGATTTGAAGGCCCATGCAATGAATGTGCTGAAGGTTTCAAAGGCCGTGCAGGCCACAGAGCAGCCCATGGGCATAGCCTTGTCAAAAGACCAGCTATCCCTGAATTTGAGTCCTAGAAGCCAAAATCTTCAGGATGAACCGGGAGCAGGCGGAAGGCTGAGTTAATGTCGCATTTTGCCATTGATCCTGGAAGGAAGAACAGCAAAAGAGGCTTGAGCCGAGGGGTCAGCCTCTTTTCTCTTGGCCTTAGGTCCACCCCCGGCTGGCCGTCCATTGTCCTCACTGGCCAAGGGCGGGTCAAAGGCCAGCTTAAGCAGGTGGGTGTCACCCGCCCAGGTAAGCCCCACTCAGTGCCGCAAACCCCGCCTACCTGTGGGGAAGGGAGGACAGATATTATCTCTTTGACATCTGCTGGGAGGGCGTTCCACAGGGCAGGCGCCACTACTGAGAAGGCCCTCTGCCTGGTTTCCTGTAGCTTTGCTTCTCGCAATGAGGGAACCGCCAGAAGGCCTTCAGCGCTGGACCTCAGAGTCCTGGCAGAACGATGGGGGTGGAGACGTTCCTTCAGGTATACCGGGCCAAGGCCATTTATGGCTTTAAAGGTCAACACCAACACTTTGAATTGTGCTTGGAAATGTACTAATACATCACTCATACAACACGGTTATATCATGAAAGGGGAGGTCTGGTGGCAGGAATCTGAGCATCCTGGACCCTGCCCCATGATTCTCCTTGCCCTCCACCAAACACCCATCAAGTGTAATAAAAGAGATCTTTACATTTCCTTGTTTCCAAGCCCAGTTAATCCCACCCTTTTGTCTTCATCTGAGTTTGTTATTTCTGGAATGGCTACCTGTCTGGCACTCAGGTATCAGGAGGCCAGGGATGATCACTCAGGCAGAGGGGCTGCTGAGGAGCTGAGCTCACATGTCTATATGCATTTCTGAAGTTTTCTAGTGAGCCAGTACAGAGATACGTTTATCAGTGAATTCTTACATTTGGTATTGTGCAGCAGAGGCCCTTTGAATAGACAGGAAGAAACTGTGATGAAGTGCTTTGTGGGGACAAATCACAAAAGCCACAAAAGTGATTGTGCTGATTTTGGTAGTGGGCTGCATGTGCAGGATATCTGCTGGAGGGGCACCCCCCCCAACCTATACATAAATTCCTGCAACACTAGGAGCCGTCAACAGCCTTCTCCTCAGGCTGTATCAAAGCAACAGCAGCCCAGCGTCTCCTGGGGGCGGCTAAAAAACTCCCACTTGTGTTGGGGCAGAATATTTCTTTCAGGGGCTGCAGTCTCCTCCAGGATCCTGGCTATGATTCCTGCATTGCAGGGGCCTGGGCTGGGTGGCCCTGGGGGTCCTCTCCAAATCTACAATTCTAGGATTCTGCCATCATCACCACCTGCATAGAGAGAGATCCCAAATTGCACGTATGTTTATGCGTGTGAGAATACACACAAACGCACATGCATGGTCCGTGTGGGTGTTCCACAGAGGTGGAATTGAAATCATCAAAGGTCAGAAGGAAATGAAACTGCTGGGGGTTTGCCAGGGTCCTTTCCAATGATTCTACAATCTTTATTCTGTTAAAGGAGAAATCTGAGGGCTCTCTTGGACAAAAAACAAGGACCCCAGCCAGGAATACCAGAGCAAAACAGCAGCCAGTCGGCTTGGTCTTGATTGAAGACTGTCGCGACAGGACGCCCACCTGCCACCAGGTGGAACAAGATGGAAGCCCCGAACAAAAGGAGAACCCAAACTTTTATTAGCTGCTCATCCCCATGTTACACCCCCCAAACTACATCATGGTTACATCACAGTTACGTCATGAAAGGGGAGGTCTGGTGGCAGGAATCTGAGCATCCTGGACCCTGCCCCATGGTTCCCCTTGCCCTCCAACAAACACACATCAAGTGGAACAAAAGAAATCTTTACATTTCCCTGTTTCCCAGCCAAGTTCATCACACCCTCTTGTCTTCATCTGGGTTTGTTATTTCTGGCATGGCTACCTGTCTGGCACTCAGGTATCAGGAGGCCAGGGATTATCACCCAGGCAGAGGGGCTGCTGAGTAGCTGAGCTCACAGGTCTAGACAAGTTTCTGAAGTTTTCCCAGTGAGCCAGTACATAGACACATTGATCAGTGAATTGTTACATTTGCTATCGTGCAGCAAAGGCCCTTTGAATAGACAGAAAGAAACTGTGATGAAGTGTTTTGTGGGGACAAGTCACAAAAGTGGTTGTGCTGATTTTGATAGTGCATGATATCTGCTGGAGGGGCAACCCCCACCCCAACCTGTAATGGTTCTAGGGGTTGCTTGTGCGTAAGCCAGTGCAAACACCTGGCTGGATTGCCTGAGTGAACCTTTTCTGTCCGGACAGCCACTCGCCCGTGGCTGTCTCAATCGCTGGCAGAATCCGTCAGTGGGCGTTTCTTAAACTTCTTCCAGCACAGAAGCTCTTTGACGCCTAGTCTCCTCCTACTCTCTCTGCGCGAAAGCCTTCTGCGCAAGGAGGGCGTAGGCAGCGGAGGACCTCTACTCTCCCCGCTGGTCCCTGGCAAGGAGTCATGGCACCGCCTCGCTGCTTCCCCCATCTGCCCCCCTTCTCCACTGGTGCTACGCTGATTCTCTTCCCCAGAAGATGGGCTGCCTCTCCCAATCCCGGGACACTCTCCGGAATCCCTCTGGATTTTGTTCTCTCCCTCCGGCACTGATGGCAGTTCCCTGACACAACCTATACATAAATTCCTGCAACAATTCCAGCCGGTATCAGCATTGGAATCAGACTGATTTTAGACATTGTTGTTTGAAACTCTTCATATATATATATATATATATATATATATATATATATATATGAATGAAGAGCTTCCATATTTGCAATTCATTTAGTTGTTGTAATATATTGTAAATTGCTTTGGGGTGCTAAATTAATGAATGAAACAAATATCTGCTCATTGTTGTTTCCAATGTGCTGTATGGTGAGATTCTGCCCCATTTCTGAACAGGTGAGCTCCTGCTCCCAGACTCTCTGGCTGCTCCCAGTGGAGTTTCTGCATGTTCAAAAATGGGGGGGGGGGTTTCCCTGGCAGCTGTTTGCTGTGGAGTTTATGCTTCTCATACAGGATGTTTCTGTGGCCCTTTTACATATTAAGTTCCCATCTGAAAGCATCCCAGGACAAAAATATCAGAACTGCAGGAAGTTTTTTATCCAGACTCTTTTATTTCAGCTTATATACAATTGTCCTCTCTGGCAAAGATGCAAATATACACGTTTGTTTTATTATTGAATGATATTTATAGAAAAAGAGAGAGGAATGGTGACCACAGCAGAGTTACAAATCATGTTCTTCTGTCAGATTGTTCCGGAAGGCACAGATGGGATCCCCACTCAGTGATGGTCTCCTTGGGGTGCAAATGAATATAACGTTCAGGCTTAATATTGTGCTCCACACTCTCAGATTCGTGCTCCAATTACACACACTCTGTTGTGTTGTGTTGTGTTATGCCCCATTTAGCAGCTGGAAGCTGGCCACACCAGCAGGCCAAATCCGAGAGCCCTCCTGCGTAATGGATTCTGCCACCCTTTTGCAAAACACCTGGCCAAGCCCCGAGTTTCCTCCTGAGAGCAGAAAAGGCACTTTGGAAAGGTTATGATGCCCACCATCTTGTCAGAGGGGTCCTCCTCTGTCAGAAGTTTTTAAAAAGTGGCTCCTAAGACCCTTAACCCCATAATCTGAATAAAATTGGTGAAAAAGCAGAGAGTTTATTGAATACAATATGTCCTTGCAAGAGCGGGTGTCCAAAGCAGGCACACCCAAAACTGACAAAGCATAAGCTTATATTCCCTATACCTGAAGCGCAGGTTCCCTCCCTTGCCTCCCCGCCTTTGTCGACATCTCCCATCACTCTGATTTCGAGGACCACCCCTCCTGTTTACCTTTCTCCTTATTTGGTCCATGCTTTCTATGCTTTTAGGGACGCGGGTGGCGCTGTGGGTTAAACCACCAATAAAGCGAGATGAGCGCCGCAACCCCAGAGTCGGCCACGACTGGACCTAATGGTCAGGGGTCCCTTTGCCTTTACTTCTATGCTTTTACACATTGACTCAAGAGACAAAGCCACATCCTGACTAAACAAGTTCTATACCTGCTGAAGTATACAAAAAACCGTATTCCAGCCGCAAGCCGTCCCATTTACGAGCATCCTGACCGCAAGCTGGTCTAAATCTAAGTGTAAGCAGGTCTCTGCTGCTGCCTGCCGTTATCTAGCTGTTGCAGCCTTTTCGATATTTGGTGAAAAAAAGCAACATTATCGTCCCTCACATCCTCTGGACTTTGTTGTGCCCCTGATTTACCCGGGAGAACAAAAGGAAGGTAAACTTTGGCAGTTAGGCGATCTATGCCAGGTTCTATCATTTCCACATTGCCCTCTGGTGGCCGCCCTTGGGAACAACAACCCCAGGTAAGTAAAGCACAACTCTGGGAGCTGACCCAATCCAGACAGATGGGCAGGCGGGAGGAAGTGTTGCTTTTACTCTCCTACACACACCATAGCTCACCTTGGTCACACCAGTCTGCCTTGGGTCATTAACTCTGGGACATACAGCTTTTAACCCCCCCCCCTTGCCCTTTCTCTGTCTCACTTGCCCTGATACCTGATCCGGAAGATGTGGACGGTGCCGTTGCTGAGAGCCACGGCAAAGCGCCGCTTCCCAGCCACCGTGACCACCCGCGGCCGGTTGATGCTGTTCTTGGCAGTGAGGAACGCCCCCAACTCCTTCCCCCGGCGAGAGAAGGCCACCACCTTGTTCAGCTCCCGCAGGACCACGTAAATGATGCCCGTGGCATCGGCACAAACGGCCCCCGGCTGGCACTCGCCCAGCTGCTCCTCAGAGCACTCGGCCACCAGCTGCCCCGTCCTGGTGAACAGGACCACGCTGCGGCGGTACCAGTCGGAGCCTACAAAGCCGTCCTTGTGGTTGGCCAGGAAGACGAGGCACCTGTCTGCACTGTCCTCAGGCACAATCTTCTCCAGCAGCCGCCCCTCCAGGTCATACACCTCCAACTGCCCAGCCACGCACACAGCCATATGGTCTCCCTCCAGTGCTGCCACGGCATGGCTGGCCTGCCCCTGCCCCAGAGCCTTCTGCCACACCAGGTCACCCTCACCATTCAGGAGGTAGAGGCAGGAGCCGGCCGTGAAGGCCACCTTGCTGCCCACAACGGCCACGCTGACTGGGGCCACACCACTGGGGACAGGGACAGTGCCCTTGAACTCCCCCTTCAGGGAGAAGCGCTTCAGATTCTGGTTTTGCTTGTCGGCCACCAGCAGCTCTCCAGAGCCAAAGGGGCAGAGCCCCGTGACCAGGGGGCACTTCTTGTCGCTGGGGATCGTGACGCAGAAGCTACATGAGAAGAGAGGTTTGGGTGTCAGAAGGGGGGTTCCTGGAATCTTGGGAGGAGGCACAGGGGCTACGGCTTGCTGGCAGCCCCTGAGGATGAGGGTGGTCATGTGGAATCCCTCCTTGACAGGCGGCACTTGCTGCTGTTGCTTCCTCCTCTTCTTCTTTGCCCCTTTTGTGGCCTCCTCCTTGGGGCCCTCTGGCAGGTGGGTCTTCTTCTTCGCCCCTTTTGTGGCCTCCTCCTTGTGGCCCTCCGGCACTCCAGTGGGGATCTCAGCGTTGACCTCCAGGCACGGCAGGTGGGTCTTCTTCTTCGCCCCTTTTGTGGCCTCCTCCTTGGGGCCCTCCGGTACTCCAGTGGGGATCTCAGCGTTGACCTCCAGGCACGGCAGGTGGGTCTTCTTCTTCGCCCCTTTTGTGGCCTCCTCCTTGGGGCCCTCCGGCACTCCAGTGGGGCTCTCCTCCCGGAACTCCAGGTGGAACAGGCAAGGGCCACTGCCCTCGATCTCAGCGTCGACCTCCAGGCAGGGCAGGCGGGTGGCCAGCGGCTCCCAGGAGAAGCCCTGCAGATGCCTGAGACGCTCACAGATGACCTGCTCCAGGGAGACGATCTCCACCTCCCTCCCCAGGCCCAGCACCTTCTGGGCAAAGGCCACGGTGCTGGAGGCCACCTGCTCTTGGAACTCCAGATCGGAGCAGAGGGCCTGGCAGGCCTTCTGCCGCTCCTTCACGTAGTCCGCCAGCTGGGCCAGGACCTCCTCCTGCTGCGCCAGCAGCCGCTGCACCGCCCGCGAGCACGCCTGCTCCACCGCATCCCGGATGCTAGCCTCGCGCACCTGCAGCTGCGCAGCCTCCCTCTCCAGGCTGGCCCTCCCCGCCCGGATGACCTGCACCGTCTCCTCCACCCCGGCCAGGAGCTCCACGATGACCGGCCGGCGGGCCTGGGCCGCCTCAGCCAGGGGCAGGCAAGGGTGCTGGAGGTGGGCCCCCAGCCGGCACTCCCGGCAGAGGACGACGGCACAAGGCGTGCAGAAGAAGCGCAGCTCCTCGCCGGTGTGCTCCTTGCACTGCAGCGCCTGGCGCTTCCGGATCTCCTCGTCGTGCTCCCCGGAGAGGTAGTCCTTCATAGCCACCACGCGGTGGAGGTGGGTGAGGCGGGAGCAGCGGTGCCCGCTGGCGCAGTCCCGGCACATGTCGTCGGCGCAGTCTAGGCAGCGGGAGACGGCCGGCCGGCCAGGCTCCTGGCCAATGAGCGGGCAGAGGCTGCAGGTGGGCTCTGCCTCCCCTGTGGGGTGGACCAGGTCCAGCAGGCCGTTGATGAAGAAGTTGGTCCGGAGAGCACCCACGCCCCCCTGTGGGAGGGCCACCTGCTCACGGCACTCGGGGCACTGAAGCTCCTTCCGGCCTCCTGCCAACTTCCGTAGGCACTCCTGGCAGTAGCTGTGCAGGCAGGGCAGGATCTTGGGGCGGCGGAGGCGCTCCAGGCAGATGGTGCAGGTCAGGAAGCCGCTGGTGAGGGCTTCGGAGAGGGACGGGGCCTTGGCAGCCATGGTGGGGTGGTCCCTGCTGCAGGGAGGTTGCCTTGAAGGGAGAGAGAGAGAGAGAGAGAGAGAGAGAGAGAGCGCACTGTGAAAAGGATGCAGGGGTTTTAGTAAACCACAAGCTCAATATGAGTCAACGCTGTGATGCAGCAGCAAAAAAAGACGAATGTGATTCTAGGCTGCATCATCAGAAGTCCAGGGCAGCACAATTTAAGGAGGATGTTGACAAGCTGGAAGGTATGCAGAGAAGGGCTGCCAAGATGATCAAAGGTCTAGAAACCAAGCCTGATGAGAAGCGGTTGGGGTACCTGGGTATGTTTAGCCTGGAAAAGAGGAGACTGAGAGGAGATATGGTAGCTATCTTCAAACATCTCAAGGGCTGCCACATGGGAAATGAAGCAAGCCTGACCTCAGTTACAAGAAAGGCAATTGCAGCGTAAACATCAGGAAGAACTTTCTGACAGTAAGAGCAGTTTGACAGTGGAGCGGATCACCATTCACTAAGGCACAGCAGAGTCTGTATTGTGGCTCGGAGCCAATGACACCCTCCCCCCTCCCTGACTTTGCCCAGTCCTATCCGGACAAAAGTTCTGCAAACACCAGATATGGCTGGACCTTTGACTTCCCTGCAAGGGAGGGAGCGGCAGTCCAGCAACCTCTGGAGACCCCTGCTGGGCCTCCCCCCTTTCCTCCCGCTAGGAGGCTGGGGTGAGAGGGGGCTCCCCGGATCGGGGTATCCCCAGGAGGCAGGAGAAGGAGCCCTTGCGCCTGATGTAAGGAAACCAAGTCTCTGTACAAGAAGCGCACGTCCGTAAGTGCGCTAGGTAGGAAGGCGCGCACAGGAGCGCACAGCCACAAACACGGGGAAACCCACACACGGGGTTGAAAGCGCCACTCTCCGTGGGATGAGCCTCACAGGCGACCCCCGGTTTTTACAACACGTCCAACGGGAGTGGGGGTTAGGGGGCAGGACTTCTGGGTCCCCAGGAGACTCCTGGCGCCGGCGGGGACGCCCTTGCCCAGCTCTCATCGAGGCCCTTGCGACCAGCATGACCTCCCCTTCCCCGGGATCCAGGGAGAGAAGGACCGCCCCCCGACCCACCCCGGCGGACCCTAACCCTCCAAAAGGTCTCCGGGCCAAGGTTTGCCCCCCAAACCCCATATCTGGGGGGCGACTCCCGACTGGCTGGCAGCTTGCCCGCCTGCCCGTGAAGGAGCCCCTACCTCGGAGCGGCAGCTGGGCTGGGGGTCCTCTCCGCTTGCCATTCCCTGGGAGGTCGCCCCCGAGATGTGGGGTGGGAGTGTCACCGCGCGGAAGCAGAAGCGAATTTGACGCTCACAGGGGGCGGAGGATTCCGCAAGGGCAGGTATGTTCAAAGTCCAAAGGTTTAATCTGGCACCTAGTTTATTTACTGGGGTAACCCCCTCCAAAAAAGCTCAACAACTTGAATCAACAAAAAGTTCAACAACATTGGGGTAAAATCGTATAGAAAGCTTTGGTCGGCCCTCACGCATGTGCACGTCATCAAATCTGGCTCTCTTTGAAAAAACGTTTGGGCACCTCTGCGCAAGGTGCTGCGGGACTGGAAGGTTGTGACAAGGGGGTCGCGGGAGGGCTCGGGGATGGCTCCGCTGGGGGGCCAAAGGGCTGAGAGGGGGCGTCCTGCCCACCCGCTCCCCTCGGCTCTCCTCGCTCCCTTTGAGCCTCGCAGCCCGTCTCCTCTTGGGGCATCCAGGCTGGACCACCCCCCGAGGAGTTAGCGCAAGCGGGTCTTGGCAAAGTGTGCCCTCCTGGGGCCGCCCCGCTTCCCGCCCCCCTGTTGGAGAGCTCCCTGTTTCCTTCGTGGACGCAAGAACGGAGGACAGCAGCTGGGTCAGGCCAAAAGAGGGACCCGTCCAGCTGTGATTCATGCATTGCAGGGGTTGGACTAGATGACCCCCAGGTTCCCTTTTGCCTCCCCTAAGGTCCCCTGCAGGGACACGGGTGGCTCCGTGGGTTAAACCACAGAGCCTAGGACTTGCCGATCAGAAGGTCAGCAGTTCGAATCGACACAACGGGGTGAGCTCCCATTGCTCGGTCCCTGCTCCTGCCAACCTAGCAGTTCGAAAGCACGTGAAAGTGCAAGTAGATAAATAGGTACCACTCCGGCGGGAAGGTAAACGGTGTTTCCGTGCGCTGCTCTGGTTCGCCAGAAGCGTCTCAGTCAGGCTTAGTCATGCTGGCCACATGACCTGGAAGCTGTCTGTGGACAAACGCCAGCTCCCTCGGCCAGTAAAGCGAGATGAGCGCCGCAACCCCAGAGCCTTCCATGACTGGACCTAACAGTCAGGGGTCCCTTTACCTTTACCTTCCACAGTTAAAACAATGCTCAAGGCGGCTAAGTGTATGGGGAGGCAGTTACCAATTTTTTAAAAAAAAAATGTGCACCAACAGTCTTATTTGCCCCTGCCTGTATATAAATATATATGCGCAAAGCATAAATAAAAAGGCATTTTATGCATTATTTTATGCATTATTTATGCATAAATAAAAAGGCATTAATATTTTAGGGGTTGGGGAGTGAGAATGACGACTTAAGGAGAGCGCAGAGAGAAGAAAGGCGGTGGTCCCTCTGCAGCAGTGTAACTGGACGCCCTCATCTGCCCCTGCTGCAATAAAAACTCATCTCATGTATCGGTGTCTACAGCCCCAGTAAATGCTGCAACCTTCCAACAGTTTGGCTTCATCCCCGGTGAAGGCGCACTCCTCCATTGTCTCCCGAGACAGATGGGTGCCCAAAATCAGCTTCCCACATCTGCAAAAGCAGGCATGAAATAAAATGGGGGGGGGGAATAAACCACAGGCGTGTGATTGTGTGGAAAGTAGCGACTGGAACTATGTATAGCATAGGCATAATGATTAAACAAGACATGGTTACAAGGCAAGGTAGCCTGTTATACCAAGGGAATGTCAATAAAATTATCCAAATGCCCAAAGCCAGATTTGTTCCTAGGTTAAGGGGGGTGGGTCCTCAACTGTGTTCCTTCTTGCTTACAAATATAATATAATATAATATAA